TAGGCTGAGACGGGCGGGCGAGAGGAGTGGCGCAGGCCCGCTGAGTGCTTGCAGGGGATCCAATCCAGAAATAGCGAGTTCTGAAACCCGCGGGGTTCCAGACCTATCCCAAGAACTTGAGTTTCCAGGGCCCCCACAAAGGAAAACAAGACTTTCTCTTGAAAGGCTGGTTTAAAACCAGACTTCCTAATCTGCTCTTGCCGTCAAGCGCCATTTTGGCTGCAAGCAGATGGAAAGCACTCCACTAGAAGCATTCGATGGCAAGGAGATGGCAACGACGAGGGCCGAAAAAAAAGCAATACAGCGGCCACAAAATACGGTGTGGCTACAAGAAATGCCGCAGTCAGCGAGATCTGAAAAACGTAGGCAATGACTTGCAGCTGAGCCGAAAGATTGCAATGAAGATGCAACGCGCAACCTGCGCAAACATTGCCTCAACGTCAGATTCTGCTGCGAACAGCACCTGCAACTTTGCAAGAAGAAAGTCAGCAAAACCCGAGGTCCTGCACACGGAACTGAGGCTATGGATGTACCACAGTTTGTATTGCTGTGGCGAACGCTCCGTGACCAAGGATCAGTATGGTCTGCAGCGCTCCTCTTGCTACAGTTATTCTGCGGGGAGAGGGCAGATGCCATGAGGCAATGCCGGGCAGATTGGCTTCGAGACTTAGCAGATGAGTCACAAGGAGCCCCTGTGATTTCCATTCCCGCTGGGCTAAATATGAAAACGCCAGGTCGCGATGTTCCAATCCCTCTGCAGCTAGCCCGCCTTCTTCGCTCATGGATGTTCTCCAATAAAGCACTTCAGAACAACCAAGGTGATAGGTGGCCAGAAAAACCCTTCTCGCAGCAGCCTGGGGACGCTTTGCTATTTCCCGGATGGACCAAGCAGCGTAGGAAAACTGCCAACAAAGCAATCTCCGAGAAAGCCTATTACGATCGCATCCGAAAGGCTGCAGATTCCCTGGCTAAGGAGAGAGCTCGCGCCCGCAGAGCTGGGCAGGATCATCCTTTTGAGCATTTTGACCTGTCTAAATTAGCAACACATAGCACGAAAAAGACCGCTGTCTCCCTGCTCAAAGAGCAGAGACACAGCACTGCCATAATTTCTGCTCTGACGGGGACATCCTCGCGAACTCTTGAGTCTGTGTACGATATGCCGACATGCAAACGGGTTCGTTCGGCAAGCAACCAAGCGCTATCCCCGGTGCTGGAAGATCTGGCCTGTGAGAGGCAGGAAAGATCCTGCTGTGGAGTGGCGCATGACAGCACAGCAAACTTTTGCTATCTATGTGGGGGCAAGCTGTAATAATGTCGTGAGGATTCCAACCTTTGTTCAAAACCCGTGTATCCTAGACTGCACGTCCTGATACCAAAACTGAGAGGGGTATTTATCATAATAAATCTGCCTCACATCCCAACGTCTGGCCCCGACAAATATTTGCATGCGTGCTGCTTGTCCCAACACGGGATGCATCTGCTGCGTCGACCCTGCTCATGACCAGCGGGAATAACAGAGATTTATGTCTGCGTGGTCTGACGAGCACCACAAAATACTGGACCTAAGTGGGCTTTTTGTTCACGAGCTACTAGGCTCCACGTACGGAGTTTAGACTCTAGACCAAGGTTCACACAAGGGATACAAGGAGTTAAAACTTCTAAGCCAGCTGACTATGTACGGAGCTTCTGCAAGATGCGCTGGTGCATTATGAAGCCCCGAACAAATCCGTGTCTGTCTATAGAGCACCCATAGGCCTCAGCTTTCACATCCAAGTCCCAGGCGTTTTGAACTCTGGCGGCTCTGGCGTTCCTGATGCGCGGACGCTACACCAACCTCGGCCAGGCAGGAACTCAGACAAGCAGCGGTACAATATTGATTCGAAGATTTCGATGTATGGAAGTAGACTGAACGTTACTGACATCTCGATATCCAAACTGCGCACCAATCTTATTGAAATCGATTCCCACCCTGCTGTGTTGGAGATGCCCGGAGTTGTGTAGGTTCTAAGCCTCTCAGCTCTCATGCGCCGTTCCAAGTCCTAGCTTAGCGACCATTTTCGCACCCCAAGCACAAATCAAGCGACAGGTCTTCCTACTGTGCCTACTTGTGCAAAGCAGCAGCAGTTGCTGTTGCGGAACCTATGCTCTCCCATCGTGCTGTCATTGCTGACAAGGGCACTAGGCCAGCGCAAGATAAGAGGCGGCGAAGCAATCTTTCTAAGACGTTTACCGCCATGCCATTGCCCAGAAGTTTCCCCACCTGATTGCAGGAGAGTGAGCCTGATAGTCTGAGTTGCGAGGATGGTAGGCCCATCAATCTTGCAGCCTCCCAAACCCTCAAACGTCGCCCTCGGTTCATCACCCAATGACTCTCCGCTGAACTTCGGGAGCGTGTCAGGCATGGAACCACACCATCCATCCAGTGAGCGCCCCAGCCAGCGTCGATGTCAGCAACGACGTGACTTGTCAGAGGGTTCACCTGCAGCTTTTCGATCACTTCCCTGAACACCTGCATGAAGTTGTGACGAGCCGTTGACTGCCTTTCTGGGGGCATGTCCTGCAGAGTCACCTCCTTTTCCCACTCATCCAAGCACAGCTCAAGAGGGACGCAGCCAATCTCCTCTGGCCAAGGAAACTGGAAGACCGCAGGCAAGAGCGACTTGTCAATCCCGACAATGAAGAGGCGCGGGCGACTCATTGGTAGTCCATGGTCTGAAGCATTGACCACCCTGGCATCCACGTGGTATCTGCAACCGTCCATCTTGCTGAGCTCGCTCAGGATCCACACTAGCACATCTCGGCGGCGTAAAAGGCCAACAACATTTTCGAGTAGGAAAGTTTTCGGCAGCAGGATCTGTAAGGTGCGAATCACATAGACGATGATGTCACCTCCAGGCCCATTAATGCCGCCCCCGAGTCCTGCTGAAGAGAACGCAGGACAGGGGAAGCCACATACGTAGAGATCAGTACGTGGATGGGTTAAATTGTTGTCTTGCTGGCAAAGTGAACGTCATAGAAGCGTCGGGCAGTTGGATCAATGTCGCAAGCTTGAACATGGTCGTATGGCACCCCCAAGCCGCTCAATGCCCACAATGGACACTCCATGCCTGAGCAGTCGGTCCAGACTGGCAGGGACGGATCCTCGGAGCGAGCGCTCGGGCACGACATGGCAGGGAAGCAGTCGCGACAGCCTCCTCTTACTCGACTCTAAGCCCGGTGTCAACATCCTGCATGGTTTCAACATCCTGCACTCAAACGCTGTCGCAAGACAACACCTGAAGCAACTGACTCATTTTACTAGCCCTCCAGGCCAGGTGTGTGGAAGTTCCGGTGACCGAGGTCTGGGTGCACAGGCCGATTAGGGCGTGGAATTTGGGGCAAGTTTAGGCTACTTCAATCTTCGGTAGGGCGCCCAGACAGTCGAAATGGGAACTCGATCTGCAAAATGGGATTGAGCGCAAATGAGAGCAGCTGCCTGATCTCTCATATGACAGCCGGGCAGAGCTGCTGAGGATGGATCTGTGAGTATGTGTGTTGTGTGTGTGCTATACAACTTACGGGCAAAGGCTGCCCCTAGAGTTTACAGGGTTCCTGTACAGGGATGTGAGCGGGGACCCATTGAAGTATGCGTGCACAGGATTTAAGTTGGCAGAGACAAGCTGATTTGAGATCAGCTAGACATGATATTGCAAATCTCTCTCAACGACTCCATCGCGAGAGTGTCTTGCTCAAGGCTCACGCGTTGCAGCAAGCCTAGCCAGCCGTCTCACCCTCAGGAGCCCCATCCTGGATCTACTGCAACAGGCTTGCCAAGTCCTCAACTCCTCCATGGCTTTTCCCTGCGCCCTTCTTCTTGCGTTGGCTCACGCTGCCCTCGCCTGACCCACCTTTGCCTTCGCTGCCGTCCTGTCCTGCGCTCTTGCCCCCAGCTTCTGCGCCTGTGCCTCCAGCACCCTTGTTGCCATCACTCTCTCCTCGGCCACCAGCCTTGCCTTTGCCTGCCCTTTTCTTCCTCGGCCACCAGCCTTGCCTGGCGTGTCGTTGAACAGGCGCATCAGGATTCAAGAAGGAAAGCTCCGACATGGCCACGGGCACGTAGAGCTCCTCACAGGTCGGGTCCCTCATGAGCTTGAAGATCTGCTCCTCAAGGCGCGGGCTCAACAGTTCTGCGTGAGCTGGGGTATTCAAAAACGCCACGTACTTCACTCCCAGCAGGATGCAAGCAACCGCGAGATTGTCATTCTGCGGGGTGCAGTCGGTGCAGGTTGCTGCGAGGTAGCCGTGAAGAATTTCCTTCCAGAAGTCGGTGCTATTGCCGTGCCAGCTAACCGGCTCGAGGTCGGTCGCAGCTCGCCTGCCGCCGCTGTCCTCCGCTTCTACTGCCGATCTCCCCCCAGACTCGCGCAGAGTGTCCCCAAGAAGCTCCTTCTTGTCCGCCAAGCTGAGGTTCCAGTCCGAGCTCGGGTCCTGCGCAAAAGTCTCGAAAAAAAAAGCCGGCAGTACTTGAATAGTTCAAAGTCAACAGTCTAGTTAAAGCTCCCTTCACCAGCCTCCAGGGTGACAGGGCCGATGTGATTGAAGCGGTTGGTGCAGTTGTCGTACACAAGGCGCTTACGCAGCTCCAGCTTCAAACTGTTCTGGGAAATGATGAGAGCCTGCTCCACGATATCGAGATCTGTCCATTGGCTGACTCTGGCGCGTGTCCGGCGTAGGTAGGTGGACTCCTCGTACGAAATATACAGGATGCGCTTGGCCCTCTTCAGCTTCCGGTCTGGCAAGTTGAAAATCTTCTCGAACGTAGCCTGGTTGTCATGTTTGAAGGCATCGAAGAACATGAAGATGGTCTGCTCGTTGATGCTGAGCGCATCCTCATCGGCAGTACCGGTTGCCAGATACTCCGGGCAAAATGCCCGAAGGCTCGCGCCCACAACAGAGGACATGTACGTCGGCCTGTTCGCCGGCATCCTGATGGCTGGCTGGGTCTTGCTCTCCCCTTCCGTTTTGCTGTCGTAGATGACGAGGTGATGCTGATTCTTCTCAGGCTGCTGCTTGTACGCCTGCGACTGCATGAGGGCCTGAATCATGGTGTCCTGCGACATGTTGGTCGGCCGCACCATCAGCTCAAAATGCTGTCTTCGAGTTGGCAGCCGCTTGCCACCTTTCGTAGGCCTCGCGCTGCTCCTCGTCCATGGCAGGCTCCTCATCCTGCTTGGCCACGCTCGCGTCCTCTATCGGCTTGCTGTCGGAATTTTCTGGCGCCTCGGCAGCCTTCGATGACTCCGCCGCCTGCTCTCTCAGCCTGGCCGCCGCATCATGAACACCTTGCAGCCCCACGGCCAACGTAGAATGCTTCAGGGCGTCAGCAGCCGTCTTGCCCATCTTGATGCAATTCCTGCTAGGGCGGAGCACGGTTTGCCAGGCTGGGGCAACTTAGTTCTTGCAACACCTGGCCTGAGGGCTGTGTCATGCAATCGATCGAAAATGGCAGCCTGGATGAGGTCCACAAAAGCAGCCTGACAGAGCACAGATCATGACCCAACGCACATCGGTGGATATGGGCAGGGGTACATGTGAAAAGGGTAGGGCAAGGAATTTTAAACTCAGCCGATCCTCATCCTTCTTCAGGTTGCTTCGCCACAAAGCGGCGTGAGGAACAGCGTCGAACAAGGCTGCCGCATTATCCCTGTACTCGAAGGCTGCCCGAAACTTGGGAGGGCTTTCAACCATCTTGCGGATTTCCACGCAAAACTCGCTGCTGAACATGTTCAGGTGCTCTGGGCTCATAAGTTCTTGCAAAACACCGTACTTGTAGGCTGCGACGTCGCAGGGTGTGATCACGGAGGATTCAGCCAACTTGTTCTTGCTGATGTCCTCCTGGCGCAAGATGCCTGCACGTTTCTGGTCCAGTATGCTCTGGAACACCCAAAGCAACCTCTGACCGCTGGGCCTCTGGCTTCCCAAGGTCATATTGTTCATCTGGGCAATGCCCTGGAAAGGTGTGTCAACTGCCCCATAGAGGATCTCAGCCTCGCGCACCACCTCAAGCAGCCCCTTCACGCCACAGAGTTTCTTCCAGAGCGCGATGGCTGCCCGACCAGTCCCTTCTTGGGCTTTTCCGACTCCACGGACCAATGGCATTGCTCCAACCAAGAGTGAAGCTTCTCCACAGACTTCTTCCCGTGGACCTGCGCATGTCGGGACACGAAAAAAAAACAAAAAACACCTGAAACCTCCCCCTGAACTTCCGTAGTAGGACACGAACAAAATCAAAGCCAAGCCCCCTGAACTTCCCTTCAGAACTGATCGAGAGCCTTCTCGAACTCATTCTTCTGGGACACAATGAGCATCAACATGGCCAGGGCTGATCTCTTGACAGCGCGAGCATTGTCCCGGATGCGCTCTCTGATGGACACACACTCTTTCAGGATCTCCGACCTGTTGTCCTTCACCAGCAGAGTGTAGCGTACGTTCAGCAACAGCCGCCTGTACTGTCTCTTCTGCTCCTGGTCCTCAGCTTTGCTCGCTGCAAAGAGCAGCGCCCACACCGGTTCTTCTGGGGATACCCGCTTCAGCTGGCCAGCTGCAGCCATCAGATCCTTCTCACGCCCGTCAGTCACCAGAGTCACCCCAAAAGACAACCTATCTGGCGGACCGGACGAGTAGTGCTGCTGCACAAGCTCCTTGATGCCCTGCACGTTCACAGGTGTTAGAGGGAAAGGTCGCCAACGAAGATCTTGAAGGAAAAGATTTGCTGAGAAACTGAATTCTTCGCCATTGTTGCGCAGGACTTCATCCAGCGCCCGCTGGTCGAAAACAGTGCCTGAGCCGCCTTCCTGGACAGACAAGCCTGGGACTTCTTGGATGTCCTGGTACATGTCCAGCACGTCTTTCAGAACGTTTTCGAACGCCTGCAAAAACTCGACGTTGAAGGCGTGGGCCTCGTAGACCCCATGCTCCTCACGTGGCATCCGCTGGTCGCTGCAACGGATGCGCTTGAGCGGCGCAAGCTGCAGCTCTTGCGCTGAACGTTTGGGACCTTCCAGGAATGGGAGAGAGAGAGGGAGAGAGAGAGAGAGAGAGAGCAGTAGAACAGTAAAGACAAGTTGCAGAGCCAGATAAATTTAGGCAGACCGGGCCTCTGGCCGACATCACAAAAGCGCAATCGTGCTGCACACTCACTTGCTAATGGCTTGTGAACGCTGCAGAAATCAGACTGGCACTGCGTGGAAAATGATTGTCTACGGGTTTTACTTAGAGATCTTCGGCGCTGCGCTGTGGCACCTGACGTTTGCTGGGAGCCGCGCTAGACGATCTTGCCCACAGCGCATGGCCTGGGGCGGTGCCACAATGGGTACTATTGCTACATCACAAGACTTGACCCCATCAGCCCTCAGCACGCCTAGGTAAGCTGGCCTGATCCAGCTCCCCATGTCAAATGCCTTCTTGTCTGTTGTGTTAAGGGTGGTAGCTGTCTGAAGGATGCGTGTGTGACGCTTATCCCTCAGTGGTTCCCACCTGGGTGGCCGCAGCGCTGGGCCAAAGGGTTGACATGGTTCTACTAGATTGAAGGATGCTGTGACTGAACTGATTGTTCGTGCTGGTGGCAACTAATCCAGAATCTACTCAAGGGTGATCCCACCTAGGAGGGAGCAGGTGAAGAGTCAGTGGTGGAGGCGGGTCCTTGCGACAGCCCGAGCAGGATTTGCAAGATCATCTTGCAGGGGAGCGGGAATCCAAAATCCTCCCGGGTAGATTTTGGATTCCCGCTCCCCTTCCGCGCTCTGAACCCTAAACCCTTAACCCCTGAACCCGAAGCCATAAAGCGGGGAGAATGAATCGGTTAGGGTTTTGGGGGTCAGGGGGAATCTAAACCGTCAACCCTAAACCCTAAACCCTCAACCCTAAACCCTTGAGTAGGCCTGCGGCTCGGCACACAAAAGACGAGGCTGGGTCCTTCCGCGGTTTAGAGTTTCAGGGGTTTAGGGGTTACGACCCTAAGCCCTAAACCCTAGATCCCTTAACCATAATAATGTATATTACGTTGCGAGATTTGCCGCATCCAAAATGTCTTTTCGTTAACGTTGCTGACTTTCTCACAGAACATTCCAAGATATTCCAAGCCGGGAGGATGCTGGCGCGCACACACCTTTGATAAACCTTCGAGAAAAGGGCTTTCATAAGCCCTAAACCTCAATTCCCTGGACCTCATACTGGTTGAAACTCAAGGCACACCTTGAGCCCCGTAGAATATTATACTCCTATTAAACCACTATTACAGGCGGAGACATCCTGAGCTCAGAGCGGCTCCTCCGCCATGGCAAACCCGTTCACCTCTCAGCCGTGGCTGAGGGTTAAAGGTTTAGGGTTTAGGGTTTTAGGCTTTTGGGGTTTAGGGTTAGAGGTTTAGGGTTTAGGGATTTAGGGGTTAAGGATTTCAGGGGTTTTAAGGATTTAGGGGTTTAGGGATTTAGGGATTTAGGGGTTTAGGGTTTAGGGTTTAGATGTTTAGGGATTTAGAGATTTAGGGTTTTAAGGTTTTAGGGATTTAGGGGTTTAGGGTTTCAGGGGTTTTAGGGATTAAGGGATTTAGGGATTTGGGGTTTCAAGGGTTTAGGGATTTAGGGGTTAAGGATTTCAGGGGTTTTAAGGATTTAGGGGTTTAGGGATTTATGGGGTTTAGTGTTTAGGGTTTAAGGGTTTAGGCCTTTAGGGGTTTAGGGTTTCTTTAGGCCTTTAGGTGTGTAGTGGTTTTAGGCCTTTACGGGTTTAGGGTTTGAGGGTTCAGGGATTAAGGTTTAGGGGTGTAGTGGTTTAGGGTTTAAGGGCTTGGGTTAGGCACAGTCCGTGTGCAAAGAAGCCATACACGGCATTAGGGCTGACATTATATCAAATTTCGCGAGCTCTGGGGGTTAGCTGGTAAAGGTGTTTTGGGCGCCTTGGAGCTGCTTGTTGCGTTAAAAACAGCATTTTCGGGGCATGGGGGGCGCAGAATTGGATCCGAGGGATGCGCAGCATGTTCAAACGTGAATCACCAAGAAGGAGAGGTCCTCATCTTCTGACAAGAGGTCCTCGTCTTCTATGTTTCAGATGATTGCCATTTTAGTCATCGGGTCCTCTGTCTCTCTGGCAGTTCCTTGTCATCGGCAGTACCCGCCTCAAATTTTGCCTGCAGTCAGGGCTCATGT